GTCTAGAATTAAACAGAAACACCTGTAATAACTCCTCTTAGCCCCCTTTGGGGAGTTTCCTTTGTATCTGGTAGCAAACACCCCCTGGGAGATGCTAGAGGTCTTCTCTTCCAGGTTAAGGGAACGGCACAATCAAAGCCCGGTGGCAGAAATGTATTTGTGTGGGAGAGAAAGGAAGCCAGATGAGCAGAGCCAAGACAGGGGTGATGTTGGTGATGGTGAAAGGAGTCAGGTAGGTAAGCAGGCAGGGACCCAGTCAGAGAGGCAGCAGAAAGGAGCAAGTACTTCAGATTTCTTCATCTGTGAAGCAGAAGATTAGATTTGGCCAGGCAGCTGGGCAAGTGGACATGACCTATCAGTCACAGAGATCTAGGACACACGCACAGAAAAACAGTTCCCAAGCCCTACACTTGGTACCCATCAGAAAATGCTATCTTCAGTTCTTCTGGCCCAAGATCAAGCAGGCTTTTGATAGGATGGCCTAGATCTAGATCTGGTGTCAGCCTAAGGAGGGGAGTACAAAAGACCTCTGCCATTAACCTTGGGGCCACTGTAAGCTCTTTCAGTGGCCTGCTCTGCAATGTGCATACTTCTTTTCTTACTTTCTATTGACCAGCACTTACTCTGCAAGCATATGTCTTTGCCTACATTTAATAAATAGGTACCTCAGCTCCTGTCCAATTCTTTATTCAGGACAAGGAGAACCTAGAAAGAATCTCTAGAAGGAACCCATAGCACCCCAGGCCCCAGTAACAACTGCGCTTCATTCCCGAGTTGATGCTTGTAAACTGCTTATGGCCAGTAGCTTTATTGCCAATATTCAGAACCCTTAGGAAATGACTACTTCTCCGAAGCATCTTCCAGGTGTAGCTTTTGGGTTTTGAGTCTGCTGCAAGCTCTTACCTCTTCAGTTTATTGGGGATGAGAAGTTTCTACCTACTAGGCCCAGCTGCCAGTTGTTTGGCACTGGCCTATAAGTTTTTAGATTTTTTTTTAAGCCCCTTAGGCAGTTTCAGTCTTGGCATACCAGGAGGAACAGCTGATTAGCACAATTATGTCACCTTGGCTAAAGTAGTACAATCAGCAATAACAATAGCATCAGAAGCAGCGTAGAAAATGACATTATAGCCCTTAATATGGCATTTAACTCTTAGGGGAGAAGATTTAAAAAGGGTTAGGGTGGGGTTAGGATGGGGCTGGGGATTTAGCTCAGTGGCACTGCATCTGCCTTGCAAGCACAAGGTCCTGAGTTTGATCCCCGCTCCTGGAAAAATAATAATAGTAAAAATAAAGGCCGGGCGTGGTAGCGCACACCTGTAATCCCAGCACTCGGGAGCTGAGGCAGGAGGATCGCTGTGAGTTCGAGACCAGCCTGGGCTACATAGTGAGTTCCAGGTCAGTCTCAACTACACAGTGAGACCGTGTCTCAAAAAACAAACAAACAAAAAAAATTAAAAGTAAATAAATAAAAATAAAAAGGGTTCGGGGTTGAAAACAGAAATAGAAGAGGAAGATGTGAGAAGCAAGGCTAGAGGAGCAACGTTAGGAAACTGGTGAAAAGGACACGGTGAAGAGAGAAAGGAAACCATAAAACAGAACAACAACAAACTAGAAACTGTGCAAGCAAGAAAATAATAGAACTAGAAAGGAGACAAAAAGAAAAAAGATTAAAAACCCCCAAATGTCCAATTCAAGGTGTTTCTCTGCCGTCACTGTTTGGCAGTGTGGGCAAGCAGAGTCCAAAGACAAATTGATGAATCCCAGCAAGCTAACTACAACTTCACAGTGGGGTAGTGGGTAATCCCAGGCAGCCAGCCTGCCCCTTCAGTTCCTCGGAAGCTCAGGCCGGTTCCTGACTAGAGGCTGAAACTGGTTTCCTTGAGCCTATGGCAGTCTCTGTGTCTTCTGCCATTTTGAACTCCACTCCCTGACCTCCTGCTGATTTGAACTCAGCACCCACACCGAGGCACTGGAAGCCACTAGATGGAGTCTGCCCGAAGCTGTTCTGAGTTCCAGTATCAGCTGGCCCCGCTCCAAGATGCCTACCAGCCAATCACCTCTCCTTCGTGAGGTCTGAACCCAGGTAACTCACCAGCCACTAAGGTCCAGTTCATCTGCTGCTCCATTCCACTGGTGCGTTTCTCTGTGGAGGCCTCTGGGGTTGTCAGTAGTCACCGTGAATCACAGGTTCTGCCCGCCATTCCCTTATGACAGTCCAGGTTCTGGGAGAGAGTGCTGGAATTTACCTCCTGTTCATTGGAGTCTCTCTCTTCATTCTCCCTGTAGACTTCAGTTCTTGTCTCAGATCCTTCCTGGGTTCTGAGAAACCACTTCCCTCCCCCTCCTCCTCCCACACCTATGTTCCAGCGTCAGGACACCACACCTTGGACAGTCTCTTTCTCTGCCGCTCACCACTCCACCATCTTCCCAGAAGTCCTGTGCTTGAGATATGGATCATCTCATCCAAATGATCCCACCCTCCCTGTGCTAAAGTTTTTTGATGACTAAAGTGGAAAAATTTGCTACCAAATAGCTACAAGAATTCAAGTCTATCAAGTCAGGCGGTTCCACTCCACTGCCCCCTGCGATGACCTCATTGAACAGCAAGTAGCCAGATCTGAGATGTCAGTCTAATATCCCACATAACTGTGGAATAGATGTGTGACTTTCGGTGGGTAATTGAAGTAGAGCACTGATGTTTTTGTTCACTACCCTGAGCGTGGCAATCGGCAAGAGGACTTCAGAGCAGCTACCATCTCCAGCCTGTCCTTTGAATAATGTTACTCCATATGGAAAAAACTACTCAGTGACAAGAATAGCCCAGGGAAATAATGATCTTTGTTCTTTAGATTTGCAGACCTGGGAAGCATAGCTGACTAAGCATTTAGGATCAGATGGGAATCTTCTGGCCCATCTGCTATGAGAAGGCTACCACCAGTCTGTGATTATTCATCACCTACTATGAGAAGGCAGCCCTAGGCTAGGAACACCCATCTACCAACTATATAAACCACCTCTAATTTAGCTGCCCGGCAAGATGGGCTTTGTGACAAAGCCACCTATGCTCTCGTCAAACCAACCTTTTAAACAACGTCATCTTCCTAGGTTCAGTGCCTCAGTCTTGACTTAATTGAGCTGTCATGGGGCAAGCAGCCAGATTTGGGTTAGGTAATAGTTCCAGGGCTATTTTAGGAACCAAGGACAAAAGGCCAAAGATTTTAACAAAAGGTATACTTACTGCTGTAGTCACATGACAAGGGTTATTGGAACTGTGAGCCAGGAAATAAAACCAAAATAGCTGGGCACAATAGTGCACAGCTGTAATTCCAGCACTCGGGAGGCTGAGAAGGAAGATTGCAAATTTGAATTCTATTTTGGAAACTCAGTGAGACTTTGTCTCAAAAAAACATTTTTTTTTTTTTTTTTTTTTTTTTTTTGGTACCAGGGATCGAACGCGGGCCCTTGCGAGGGGGGACTTTGTCTCAAAAACTTTTTTTTTTTTTTTTTTTTTTTTGCGGTACCAGGGATCGAACGCGGGCCCTTGCGAGGGGGGCCACCGAACTGAACTGCTGAGCTAAATCCGCGGCCCTCAAAAAATTTTTTAAAGGCGTGGGGACATAGCTCTGTGTAGGCCCTGAGTTCAATCCCTAGAACAAAAAATTAAATTTAAAAAGAAAGTAAAATATATTGTATAAGCTTGATTTCATATTATCACAGGCACTAAACCCATTCACGAGTCTGCACCCTCATAACCTAATCATCTCTCTTCCTTCAAGGAGAGGTTTTTTGCAGTAGCCCAATCTGTGCCAATATCAATTTCAAAAAATATAGTAAAAGGAAATTGGACAAAAAAAAAGAAAGAACCAAGTTCAGCATGGTGGTACATGCTTGCAAGCCCTGCTGCTTGGGAGGCTGAGGCAGAAAGATTACAAGTCTGAGACCAGCCAAATCAACTCAGTGAGACTCTGCCCCAAAATGAAATTTTAAAAAGGGAGGGGTTGTAGCTCCATGGCATAGCATTTGCCTAGCCTGAATGAGGCCCTTTGTTCAAGCCTCACTTAAAAAAAAAAATACCATGGTAAATTGAACTCAGTGACTGTTGGAGAGCTTGTTAGCTGCTGACCTGCCACTGCCCCAGGAGATTTGGGGGATAGAGCCTAGTAATGTGCATCTCTGGCAAGTATCTAGATGATGTTGATGTTGCTTGTGTGGGACCCACTTGAAGAACCACTGCTTTTCAGTTACTGTGCTGATTTTCCCGACTTCAGAGAAGTCATTGTTGAACCAGCAGGGGGAGACAAGTATATCAGGTGTACTCTAAAAATAAATTGCTTATACTAAAGTTCCTTTGAGTTACAGTGTTGCCATGGATACTTCTAAAATATTTTGGAGAGAATGTAAATTGGTATCAAGTTAAATTTCAGATATTTATATAAAAATTTATTTTGGTAGGAATAAGATCTAGATTCCTGCATGTCATAGTTAAGAACTTGGAATGTGGATGTGGGCAGCTGTCATTCAAAAGCTCTGCCTTTAAGAAAGCTACTTATTTTGTCTGAGCCTGAGTCCTTATCTTTAGAATGGGATCTAAATAGAATTCTGTTCTATTTAAAATAGAATTGTTGGAGGGTTAAAGTTCTTAGAACTTTATTTGGTAATTAAACTATTATTAGCTCTTAAAACTTAAAGTAGTTACTTAGTACTTTCAGTTCTTTAGCCTCCCTCAAATTTAGAGATACTCCAAATATGTTAGTATATTTGGTCTTTAATAACTAATGCTCCCGTAATTCAGGTAAAGAATTGAAAGCATCTGAAATGTAATTGTTGGTAAACCCTAACTTCTCCAACCTAAGTACCTACAGTAGGACATCTATGAACCTTCCCCACCCAGAGGGCTCAAATCTCTAATTCCTAGCCTTGGAGGTCCAAAGGTAGAGTGTTTCCAGGACTTTGATCTTTGGATGGAACGGAGCAGCAGGCTATGTTGGCTTCTCCCAGGGTAGCCACTGACATGCGGTCCGGCCAGCACAGCACAGTTGTTCTGCAGCCCTCCCTGCGGTAGTTCGCTTCTGCCGGGTGGGCGCGCATGTGCGTGGAGTGGAGGTCAGAGACACTCGATCTGATTGGCCTGTTCCGCCGAGGTCGTGAACTCGGCCAGGACCGGCTGTTTCCCGGGAAAAGACGCTCCTGTCTGTCGTTCACCCACGGCGCTTTCATTGGCCAGACCTTGAGGCATCAGCGAAAGGGTCACGTCCCTAGGACACAGCCCTGTGCAGGGTGGGGTGATGTCACCGTGGGCGCGTCCCAGGCCGAAGGTGACGCGAGCGGGCGGGGCCAACGGGAAGGTGTGCCGGGGGCTGGT